CCCTGCGCCGCGCACGCGCACGCGCGCCGTACGTGGCCCCTGTGCGTCGCCGGCGTTTGCGGGGTCTCCGCCGCCGCCTGCCGCTCGCTTGTGCGTGGGTTGCGCGGGGCGCGGATCTCCGCCGCCGGAAGGGCCCAGCCCTGGTCCTGCCTGACCGGCAGCCGGCGCCGTACGCCTTCTCCGGGATTTTCTTTACAGCGTGCTGTGTTCCTGCGCTAGGGCATCACCGGGCCTGCGGGCGTGAGGCCCCAAGGGAGGAGGAGAAGACGCCCCGGCCTGATGCGGCCTGACACTGACCGGGGAAATAAGGGGTTCCTCCGTACGCGAGGAACAGATGGTGCTGGGTGTTAGGCACCGAGGGCGTCCAGGGGCGCGCCTCGCTCCCGCTTGTTGTGCTTAGGGAACGCGGGAGCCAAGGCCTTGGAAGGGAGTCTTTCCAAGAGGGTCAAAGCAGGGAGCCTGCGTCTTAGATTTGCGGCCTGGCAAAACCTGGCGAGGAGTAGAGAACTTAAGGTGGGGCTGGTGAAGCGTGATTTTGACAGGTTGGTTCCCGTTGGACACTTTGCAGTCTACCCATGTTTGAGAGTTGGAATCTGACCCAAGTCAGTGGAGACCGTTGATGTTTGGGGATTTGTCATAGCCAGAGGTCAGGGGGGATTGAGGTGCGGGGAGGGCAAAAACATGACTTTGGCGTGAAGTAACTTGAGCTGCATGCTGGCCGGAGGAGGAGAGAGGTAGCAGCATTATGCAAGAGATTTGTGAAAGCATAAATGTGGAACTTGGCAAACAGGGAGTGGGTGTGAGGAGCCAAGAGGAAAAGGAAGAGTCGAAATCATCCTGGGTGACTGAGCTAATGGAAAAGTCAGGAGGAGTGGGTTTCCACGGAAGAGGAGTCCTTTTTTTCTTTCTTTTCCCCTCTAACCTAGCGGCAGAGGGGAACTGGGAAATGGACCCAGATCAGTTCTTCATCAGCATATTCGTGCTTTCATGGAATGATTTGGGAAGTCAGGAAAATAAAAGTACGTTGACCAGGTGAATTAGGTGAGCTAGGTCCTCTAAAAAAACCAAAAACGAATGCAGAAACCCTCTTAATTTATAGTTTAATTAAGAACTTACGATCAAGCGGATGTTGCTGATGAGAAGAATGTAGCTGTAGGTTTTACAGCGTATGATTTATGGTCCTCATTTTATTGAATTCTAGGAATCAGTATTGGTAGTTATTTGAAAGAAGTGGTCATTTACTGGAAAAATCTTGTTGTGCCAGTTTGTTGAGTAGAACTCGACCTTCACCCATTGCACTGGCTCTTTGAGGTTTGCCTTCAAATAACAAAGTCTCCCTTATGGTCAGCAAAGTAATGGACTAATTTATCGGAGCTTGTTGCCTTTCCAGCTGTAACCACTTTTTTTTTTTTTTTTTAAATATATCCCCTTTCTCTTTAAGCCTCTGGTAACTAGATTTCTGTGCCCCTCATTTGAAGAATACCAGTGCTTTTGTGTGTGTGTGTGTGTGTTTCATCTTGATCTTATACTGCATTTGATACTCCTTCAAACTCCTCTGTTTTGCTGTTTTGACCCCAAATTATTGTTTAATACTCAGACTTTAAAAAAATTTCTGGGGCGCCTGGGTGGCTCAGTCGTTAAGCGTCTGCCTTTGGCTCAGGTCATGATCCCAGGGTCCTGGGATCGAGCCCCACGTCAGGCTCCCTGCTCGGCGGGAAGCCTGCTTCTCCCTCTCCCACTCCCCCTGCTTGTGTTCCCTCTCTTGGTGTGTCTCTCTCTGTCAAATAAATAAATAAAAAATCTTTAAAAAAAAAAAAAAAATTCTTGCATTGTGCCAGTCCTCAGCCTGTTTGCTCCCAGTTCCTTTCCCTCCTCTCCTCTGTAGGGCTGTGGGGGTGACTGTTGCAGGTGCAAAAATCACAGTGTCTGTCAGCCGGCTTCTGGTTGGGTCCAGACACTGGTAGGAGACTGGGAGATAGCAAGGGAGAAGCCAGGATGATTCTTTTCTGTCTACCCTTAGGTGGTGTTTCTGAGAATGTCTGTGGCTCCTTTGGTTCTTGCTTTTGCAAGGTAACCCTGACCCCTTGGCTTTGGTAACCTTGCTGCTTCCCTTTGTCCCAACAGCCTATGTGTGCTAATGCCTTCCTGTTGCTAATCTCTACCGCCTGCCTCCTGTTCTTAGTTTTTCTATCACCTGTATGTTTAATCTCTGCATTAAATTATATTTCAGATAGAATGATTTTTATTTTCCTGGTTGAATCCTGATGGATAGATACCCTCACGGTTTTTACTCCCTTCCCATTCCCTTTCACCCTGTGGATTTTTGCACCTCAGTCCTTGGGCCTTTCCTCTTTTACAGGACAAAAGAACAGAATACTGTGGCGAGGCGGCAAGTATTGAGAGCAATCTGAAGTGGTAGTAAAGGTAGGCAGAGGTGGATAGATGCCAGAGATAGCCTGGAGGTAGAATCTTTTGACCTGAATGACTGATGGGCTAAGAGGAGCTTAGTGAGAAGGAGTTGGGTATAATTTGGGGGCCTTGGCCTGCCATTTAGGTGATCAGTAGTGGTTTTCAGAGGAACAGATGTGACTGTAGAAAGTGATGAATTGTATTTTGGACTTGAGTTTGGAGTTGCTGGTTTGATGACTAAGAGAACTGGAGGAAATCGAGATTTGGGAATCATCAGCTGCTGATGACAGTGGCATCCATGGGCATTGGTGAGCTCACCGAAAGCAGGTGGAGAGGGAGAAGCGGGGAGGCCTTAGCATGGGGCCTTTGGGACACGGTGTTTCAGGACAGGCCAGACAGGCAGGAACCTGCCGAGGTGAGTGAAGAGAGAGGATAGGTTATGGAAGAAAAGCAGGGGAATGTAGTGTCATTTGAAAGCCAAGGGAAGTGAGATTTTCTACAAGGAGGGTGTATTACTTCCTTGGGCTGCTGTAACAGAATACCACCAATTGGGCAGCTTACAGCAACAGAAACAGTTCTAGAGGCCAGGAAATCAGAGATCATGATGTTGGCAAGACCCCTCTCCCTCTAAATTACCCCCTTGCCTCGTCCTTGTTTCTGGTAGTTTGCTGGCAATCTTTGGAAGCCCTTGGTTTGTAGATCTATCATTCCTACCCTCCATCTGCACAAGGCAATCTCCACCCCCCCGCCCCCCCGCCGTCTTCATCTTCTGTGCTTATCTTTCTCTGCATTAAGATTTTCTCTTTTTATAAAGACATCAGTCATACTGGATTAGGGCCACCCTAATGACCTCATTTTGACTTGATTAATTCTATAGAGACCACATTTATAAATAAAGTCACCTCCTAAGGTACTGAGGGTTAGGACTTTTCTTTTTTTTTTTGGTGGGGTTGGGAGGCACAATTCAACCCCTAAAAGAGCACTCAGTGCTGTAAAAATTTAATATAACAAAGGGGTTATGTAAGATTTTTTTTTAAAGATTTTATTTAGTTATTTGACAGAGACACAGCGAGAGAGGGAGCACAAGCAGAGGGAGTGGGAGAGGGAGAGGCAGGAAGCCCGATGGGGGGCTCGAAGACAGATGCTTAACGACTGAGCCACCCAGGCACCCCGGGATTATGTAAGATTTTAACAAGGGAATTATATAAATGAAATACCTAAAATGAAAATTGTTGATTGAAATTAGCAAAACTCATTAATACTTGGGGAGCTTTATAAAGACCTTAAGAAATACAGATTTGTTGTTGGAGTGGGGGGTGGGGTGGGAGGGATGGGGTGACTGGGTGATAGACACTGGGGAGGGTATGTGCTCTGGTAAGCGCTGTGAATTGTGCAAGACTGTTGAATCTCAGATCTGTACCTCTGAAACAAATAATGCAATATATGTTAAGAAAAAAAAAAGAAGAAGAAGGTAGCAGGAGGGGAAGAATGAAGCGGGGGAAATCGGAGAGGTGGACGAACCATGAGAGACGATGGACTCTGAAAAACAAACTGAGGGTTCTAGAGGGGAGGAGGGTGGGAGGATGGGTTGGCCTGGTGGTGGGTATTGAGGAGGGCACGTTCTGCATGGAGCACTGGGTGTTATGCACAAAGAATGAATCATGGAACACTTCATCTAGAACTAATGATGTAATGTATGGGGATTAACATAAGAATAAAAAAATGCAGAATAAAAAAAAAAGAAATATAGATTTGATGGGGCGTCTGGGTGGCTCAGTCAGTTAAGCATCTGACTCTTGGTTTTGGCTCAGGTCATGATCTCATGGGTTGTGGGATCAAGCCCCATGTTGGCTTCTCGCTGGGTGTGGAGCCTGCTTGGGATTCTCTCTGCCACTCCCCTCCCTCCCTCCCCCCACACCCCAGCTCTCCCTTTCTCAAAAAAAAAAAAAAAAATCTTTAAAAAATACAAATTTGAGATACAGATTACAGTTTAAGGGAATTTTGCTTTCCTTACACAGACAATTATATGCATAAACACAAGGTATTTTAAATACTAACTGCTAAGCTCTCTATACTAAGAAGTTGAAAAGCTCCAAAAATGGTTTAATCAGTTTTCTCAAAATATTTTGTTGATTATGGCTGAATTTCTAACTCACTTGGCTCATTTTTATAGTTGTTTTGGCATGTAGATGTTCCCTGTGAATTTACCTGTCTCCTGTGGTTCTGCCTGTTTCTACAATGGAATAAAGAGACGTTAGTGGTCCTGTTGACACACTTGATCAATGAAGTATATCATAAGCAAATCATTAGTTCCTGAAAGATAATGTGGTACTTTGGAAAGTACTTGCCTCAGCTTCCTAAATTGTATTATTATTTTTTAAATAAACTCATATGTATAATATACAGTGTATCTATTATACATATAAGTGTACATATCTAAGT